GTGTGTGTGTGTGTGTGCGTGCGTGTGTGTGTGTGAGTGTGTGTGTATGTGTGTGTGTAAGTGTGTGTGTGTGAGTGTGTATGTGTGTGTGTGTGAGTGTATGTGTGTGTGTCTGTGTGTGTGTGCATGCATGCGTGCGTGCGTGTGGTGTGTGTGTGTGTGTGTGTGTGCGCGCGCGCACGCGCGCGCGTGCGTGCATATTTGCATGTGTGTGAACCCCAAGAAGGTTTGTGAGAACATGCAAGTTCCTCCAGCTGAAAGTGGGGGAATTCAGAACCAGCCTGGCACCTGGGACACTTGTTTGCAGCCAGTTCTCTTTTCCACTCCATCTCCTCACCTTTTCAGACCCCCATCACCACTTATCAGTTTCTAGGGGGTTTTCTTACTGAAAGCTGGACCTTGCTGTGATGGTCATATTCTTCATGTGACCAGAACAAAGAGCCCTCTCCCCAGATCCATCTCTTTCTGCCCCCAGTTTTGAAATTACACTTTGCTTCTCCATGTGGTCGCTGACCAGGCCTCGGCTTTGAAATCTATTGGAAGGAGCCTGTTCTCTTTGGGGCCAATATAAACAGCCCGTCATGTTCAGTCATGCTCTCTTCCTCTCCCGGGCTCTTGGCCGGCCCCTTGGGGTGTGCTTGGGGAGGGAGAGCCCCTCTCCTCACCACACCAGGCCAGCTGCCCTGCCTGCCAGCCTTGGCACACAGCCCAGAAGCTGTGAGGCCGCTTTGTCCCCATAGGCCCCACCTGGGTTCTGGCTGACCCCCCTCCCTCCTCAATCCACATACCCTCCTGCCCTTGCCTCTCCCAGGCGCCCCCAAGTCCTGTCAGAACTCCTCAGAAACACCTTTCCATCCACCCGCCTGCTGGGCCCCTGCTGGCCTAGCCCTGGCCTCTTCTGGCCCCGCCCAAGACTGTCCCCCAGCCTGTTGTGATCATGTGGCTTCTGGATTCTCTGTGTGAGCATCAGAGCCCATGACTGTCCCTGAAAATTCCACCATCATTCCACTTGTCCTGCTTTTCTACCCCGGGGCACTCTAAACTCAGCTTTACTCCACCCCAGTATCCCATCCAATGTAGAGTTTAGGCCTCTTGTAGAGCCTAACTCCCTGTGGGCTCCCTGTGGCTCATTAGGTGGACAGATTTTTAGATAGAATCTCCCACCCCTGTGTCACAGTGGCCTCTCAGGCAGGCTTTGGTCAGGGGGGTCTGTACAAGGACAGCTCCCTGTATCTGACTCACGGTATCTGAACTGTGTAGAAATGAAGGTTAGGCTGGGGAGACCCTGCAGAGACCCTGCAGCCTGTGCCATGGTTCTGATCAGTTGTCCATGGCTAGCATCCCTGGGTAGCCAGCCTCTGTGGTCTTCCTGGGATGAGGCAGGACCGGTGGTAGCCATGACTGGGCCTCATATCCACCTGTAGCAAACCACAGCTGCTCTGCTTTCTCTCAGCAGTGGCTCTGCTCTGTCCAGTGCAGTCTCTTAAAGCCAAATCTGTCACTTTGGGCTAGAAATAAAACCTTCTTCTGTTAGGCCATGGCCAAATGGGGCAGTCCGTTTGACTCTTGCTGGTCTTGTGGTACCCTCCTTTCTCCCGCACCCTTGCTCTCTCAGTACTTTCTTCACTGTACTCAAGGGACCCATCTCCTCACCTCTCTCCTCACACTGCTCCGCTCGGCTGCGATCTCCCTGAGCTTTTCCCTCAGAGTTTCAGCTTCTGTCTGGTGGGTGGAGATGGCCTCCTCAAACTGGGCCTGGAGAGTTCTCAGCTCTTTGGTCACGGTGGTGATAGTGGCCTGAGGACATAGAGACCACTAGGTTTCTGGTAGGTTGGTCTGAGGCTGACTGCCAGGCCATGAGATGAATGAAGCTTTGGGATGAATGCTCTGAGAAGAATGTCCCACCTGAAAGAGAGCTTGGGCCCGGAAGTCCCATGCTCATGTCTCCTCGCTTTTCTTCTGGGATTCCCAAGCCATCAATCAGATCATGGCAAGCGAGTAGGCATGGCCTGATTGGGGTGGGACTCAGGTGTCCTTTTCTGCCTAGCATGCCTGTTTAGCCCACACACTTTATATGGAGAGGGGACAGAAGCAACTGCTCAGCAAGTGAACAGGTCCTGCCCTCAGTGGCACTAGTATGTGGGGCCACCTGGTCAAGCAATGGATCTGGGGCTGAGCCTCTGCCCCAATGAGACTTTCTGCTCACTTTAGTCCCCCAGGTCTGACTGGACCTGGAGCATCTTAAGTCCCCGGCTCTGAGACCCACCGCATCTACTGTGGTCAAAGTTGGGTCAGTGTTGGGAGAGGAAGCCGAAATCCCAGTGGAGAGATGAGGTGAAGGACTAACTGGGCACTGCTCACCACATAGGTCCTGTCCACCTGGCACTCAGTTTCCTGAACTTTCCAGTGGGCAGGCATCCACCGTCATGCCTTCATAAATACACGAGCCCTAATCACATATGCAGAGTGCGGCCATCCTAGCTTTGCAGCTGGTCAGTGCTGTGGGCTTGGTGCTGCCCAGGTGGGCTGTCCCGTTATATCACAGCCTTGTCCTGCTACATCACAGCCTATTCCTGTTGGCTGCTGAGTGCCCAAAGGAGACTGGGGTTCTCTAGGCACCACTCCTGGGTTGATTTTGAAGCACCTCCTTGTCCTTGATGCGGCCCAGTGCAGCCCCTGGTCAGAGTTCTTCCCCACTCACTCTGGGTCCCATCCTAGGCCTTATGAGGTTCTTTCCCAGGACTGCAAGGTCCTCCGCATTTGGAAGAAAATACTCTTTCCCCCTGACAGGCTACTGTGCCTGAGAGGCTGGGAATGGAACCATCTAGGCATGACAGCTGGGCTCTCAGTGGTGTCAGCCCCCCCCCCCGCCCCAACTGCCAGAGCTTGCAGTGCTACGGAGAGGCCCAGTGCTGTTTGGGGACCCCATTTCCACACCTGCACTCTTCAGGCCACCATCTGGGGTATGGTTCTATAGAAGCTTCCATAAGCCCCTCCTCTCGCTCTGCCCTTTGGCCCCTGTTCTCTTTCTCAATGGGCGCTAGCTGCCTAGAATGGCCAGGTCATGGCTTTGTGCCCACATGGTCCAGAAATGCTTGCTCAGTGAGGCTGCAGTTCACTGTGAATCTTGGGGACCAGCTCCTAGAGGCAGTGATGACTCAGGCCAGCAGGCCCCTCCACCCATCTGTGGCTCAGTGCCATGTCACCCCACAGCTGGGGTTCCTTGGCTGTACTTCCTCTCTCTCAGCGGGTTTTAATTTCCATTTTCTAAGCTGAGGTGGCAAAAGAACCCTTAATGAGCTCCCCAAGGAGCCGAGCTGGCTGGAAGGCCTGGTCCCTAGCCCAGGGGGAGACTTGGCCAGCTTGAGAGAAGGCTCCAGTGCTGGCTCCTGCAGAGGCTGGTCTGTGAGCAGGAGGCGGCAGCTCCCAGGGTCTCTGGATGCTTTCCTGCCCATAGGGCAGAGACGGGTGAGGATGTAGTGTGGAAAGAACAGCCACAGACCCTTCCAGGCCTGTGCCAGAGAAGTACTGTCCAGCCCTCACGAGGGGATGGGGGTGAGAGGAGACAGAGCAGGGGGATAGGAAAAAGGGGGAAGCTTCCAGAGCCTGGGTACCACTTAGATTGTCCTGTTCCATGGTGGTGGGGTCAGAGTATGTGTATTGCAGGGGGTCATACCTAATTGCCACACCATTTCCTACTGGGAACCAGTGCCTGCCTACTGCCATCAGAGTCACCAGGACACCCCCAACACACACACACACACACACACACACACACACACACACACACACACACACACAGGCCTGCCACTTCTGCACACCTGCCTCTCACTCCAGTTGGGTGGTTTTCTCTCATTGCCCACATGGGCAACAAGAACAGATTTCCAATAGTCAAAGACTGGCCACAAGGACAGCCTCAGCTCCTCCCTGGAAGCCATCTCCAACAGTGTGACAGGAGTAGTTCTGTGCTGGGCTTTCCTGAAACAAGCTTGAGCACAGGTAGGCAGGGCTCGTGCTACATGGATTGAAGGTGGGGACATGGGCCTGGATCTACCCCTCTCCTGACTGTTGCTGTCCAGTATGTGGTCCAGCCTGACCCTCCTGTCAGTCTTGATCAACTCTGATTGCCGGGAGCACCAGGCCAGAATAGTCCCAGTGCCCGTAGCCACCACAGGCAGGACCTCGAGGCATAGACAGCCATAATCACTGGGCTATTCCTGCCTTTGAGATAGTAGCTTCTTCCAGCAGGAAACTTGAAGGCACCAGGGAGACACATGACTCAGGAAAACACCAAGAGGGGAATGTACTTCTAGGACCAGACAGAAAGGGGATATCCTGGGGGCTCTCAGGACTGCCTCAGACATACATGACCAGGCAGTTGCCTGGCCCTTGCCTGGTAACTGTAGTCAGTGGGGCTCACCTCAGCTTGTGCTTGCTGGTTCTGGGCCTCCTGGCGTGTCCGTTCCAGCTCCCTGTTAGCCCCAGATAGCTCCTTGCTCAGCAGGCTCTTCTCTGCTTCCTTCAGAGACATTGCCTGGATATGAGGAGACAGAGTGCCTGTGAGGCAGCTGAGGAGTTGGGAAGCTCAGAGGCAGAGCCAGGGCTCCCTTTCTAAGGCACAACAGAATGCTGCATGCTCAGTTTCCTACCAGGCTTAGTAGCTTTTGTGTGCATACCCTGCCGCTAGGCAGGGGGTGGTCCTGAGCTCAGGCCTTTACTGGCAACACACTCCTTCATGCTGTTCCCACCTTTCCCTGGCCCTGGTTCTCACTGGGCAGGGTAGTGTTTCATCAATTCCCTATCGTCCTGGGAACTTCTTTCTACAGTGACCAGGAAGAAGCACTATACCCCAAGGAGGAGGCATCTCTCACCAAGGGTGTTAGCAGGACACAGCAGCCATGATGGGGAATGTACTGTGTATGTTTATCTTATTGATTGTTAAATAAAATATTGTTTGGCCAATGAGACAGCAAGTAGATGGGACTAGGAGTCAAAGAGGATTCTGGGAAATGTAGTAGAGAAGTGATGATCCAGGCAGGAAGTGACATAGCAAGGAGACTCATATTTAAGTGAAGGAGAAACAGGAAGGGCTCTCTTTTCCCCTCCGCTCCTGCTCAATGTGATCCACCAGCCAGGAGGGATGCCAACAAGGTGTCTGATAAGATAAGTCTTATAAAATATATAGATTTATGATAATTAAGACTGAGCTAACAGATGAGGAATCCTAGTCATTGGCCAAGCAGCATTGAACCTAATACAAGTTTCTGTGTATTCATTTGGGCCTAACTCGGGCAGGCGGCTTGCATAAAGCACACACGTGGCAGTGGGGCTCAGGCAGCTTATGGTGGAAAGATTTATCATAACACAGCCAGACTCAGGGAGACCCAGTTCGCAGACTGGCCAGGCTAGAAACAGACCTCATCTGTGTCCCAGTTGTATCATTGATCATGCCAGGCAGGGAAGCCTCAAGAACCCTGGATACCACCTCAGGGGGGAGTCCTGGTTGGTGAACACAGACAGGCTAGGACTGCGATGTGTCAGGTGAACTCTAACTGGTTCCCTGGCTTGTCCCGGTTGTAATATCTGAGATAAAACTAGGGCAGCAAGCACAGCACCTTCCCGATGTCCCAGTCTTTCCACTGAATCCCCAGTTGAGGCTCATAGTGCTTCCCACACTTGCAGCCACTCTGGTCAGAAGCACGGGTAGCTGGAGGCCACCCCTCAGCTTTAAACCACTACACTTCTAATCTTTGTATCTGCACTAATGCGTGGCACCGGGATGGGTTGTATTGCAGAGGAACCTAAGGTTGAGGAACCCTTCTCTGAGGAAGGGGTGGTGAGGCAAGAACCCCACTCTCCATGTTTTTGAAGAATTAAAAAAAAAAAAAACAAACAAACCCAGTGCTCCTCATATACCCCCTCCCTGTGAGAACCCATGCTTGCTTTCCTCTGCCTCATTCTGGTAACCTGTCCACCCGTGCGTGGCCTTTGGGACCTTCGAGGCCTGGAACCTTGACTTCCCTTTTTGAAGTCCATTAGTGAGAACAAAGCAAGAATAGCCAGTTGTTTTGTTCCTCTGGGGCTCCGTCCATACAGACTTTCTCTTCTTGCCTGCTGTCTCTGGAAGACTGCCTTATGACTGAAATTGTCAGTTTCCTCCAGGCGGCATGGCATGACAGGTCCCTGGCAGATCTTCCCCACAGGGCACTGTTTCTTCACATTGACAAAAGGGGCAGGGAAAGTCCACTGGCTGCTGTGGTGACCATCGTCCACATGCCTGGCTTTCTGGATTATATAAAACACTGGAGCACAATGTTATTGTGGCCATGTTGTGGTCCAGGGAAACCATTGGAAGCCATCTTCTTAAGAAGCCTGTTCTCCTCTTACTGACTCTCCTCTCTTGAGGCTGTTCGTGAAGCCAGGAAACTGCATTCAGATGAGAATAGGTGGTGTGGCCTGGTGGTGGTCTCAGATGGCAGTGAGGGCCTGCAGGGGGCCTTGACCACTGACCATGCCCTAGGTATGTTGCTTCCCTGAGCATCTTCTCATACACTCATGGGGATGATGTCACTGTGTTCCAAGTGCCTCTGGATCCTCCACAGATGGGGCTTCAGCTCCAAGCTCTCTCTCTGGTCTCCCTGACTCCAGCCTCACTCCCCCAGTCCCCTTTGGATCACTCCTGCTCGGGAACAGCCCTGCTGTCCATTACCTGAACCTAGTATGCAGGACCTTCAGGGCTCCTCTGTGGTCCTTGCCATCCAGCTCACACAGATTCTGGTGGCTACACTGACACATGCATCCCAGATACTCCTGAATGCTCTCATCCCGGCCTCTTGCTCCCATCTCAACACCCTGCTCCTCTTGCAAGGCCTTAGCTTCCTTCAGCACAGGACACAGAGAGGTGTGCAGTTAAAATCATGGCTCCTCTGCCCAGAGTCTACACTGTGTAGCTCTGGACGGAAGACCAACACATGCACATCTCAATTTCCCAACAGTCAAATAGGCGTATAAGGCTTGTGCCCTAGAATGTTGACAGTCAATTAGAAATACAGTCTGGTCACAAACCCCGCCTCTTCTAGCCACCCATATCCTCTCCTTGCAATCTGTGATTGGTGTAGAGAGGGAACTGTCCTTGCTCACTGTGACAGCATGCTTGCCTGTGTGGACTTGTCTACCTAATTCTTTAGGATGGCCCAGTTCCTTGGGGAAGCCTGGGCTCAAATGTAACCTTTCAGACCCAGTGTCTAGACCTGTGGGTTGAAAGAATGCTCAGGTTGGATGAGAGCTATGTGGCTGGACCTTCCAGATGATGGGGTGACTGGCTGATCAGGCAAGCGAGTTGACAGACACATGGATGAATAGTTGGGCACATGGATAGATAGCTGAATGTGTGGCTGGCTGGTAGGGCATCTCAGTGGGTGCCTGGGAAAGTCAATGGATGGATGCTCAGCTGTGTGGATGGATAGCTGGGTATATTTCTGGATGGTCATGTATGTGCATAGTGAGCACAGAAAGAAAGGTGTATAGTCAGGCAAGTAGAAGGAAGATGGGTAAATAGCGGAAGGACATTCACAGGCACGGATGCGCAGGTGGGTAGATATGCAAGGGAACTGTACAAATGGTAGATGTGTGCGTGTCTGCGTGTGTGTATGTGCACATGCATGTCACGGGTGGTTGGTTAGATGATGTATAAATGTGTGGCTGGCTGGCTGGTGTACGGACATGTGGATGAATGGATGGGTGTGTAGATGGATGGATGAGTAGGTGGGTGGATGTCTGTTCACCGGGATTCCTGTGGCAGTGCAAAGCTGTTTCAATCTGGAAAGGATGCACCTGCCTGGGGGAGGCTTCACTGCAGCCCCTGTGCGGGGACCAAGAAGAGAGTGAGGTGGGTCAGGACCCCGGTTCCCACACCACCGTCACCTGCTGCATCTCATGCTCCAGTTGGAGGAGGCTCTCATCCCGTTCATGCTTCAGGCTCTGGATTTCCCCCTCCAGAGCCTCCCTCTCAGCTGTGGTTTTTGTCACCAGCTCTTTTTGCTGTTCCATCCACTGGGCAGCCACCTCTTTCTCCTCTGCCAGGGATAAACTGAGGGTCTCCTGGCCAAGGCAAAGGGTAGGTCGTGAGGTCAGGACTGGGGGACTGGTAAGGCACTTGAGGCTCTGAGCTAAACATCCTAGCTCCTGAGGAACTAGGGGTTGGTGGTCCAGCTGTCAGCTCTCCATTTGTCTTCTCTACAAGATTCCCAAACAGAAGCTGAGAAGGGCCTCTCTGGATCTCAGCATCTACATCCCATACCCAGGGCCACTGGTGCAGGGCATGGACATAAGGATGGCGAGTGTATAGATGGATGGATGTGTAGACAGCTGGGTGGATACACACATAGATGAAGGGATGGATAGAGGGATGTGTGTTTGGAGGAATGCTACGGATTGCCAGATAGTTGAGTGTGTGTCTATATGGATGGGTAAATACGTGGGTAGATGGACAGATGGATGGAAAGATGGAGGAATAGATGTGTGGGTGGCAGACAAGGGATGGAACACACAAGGCCTCCAGGGTCACATGACCCTGATGGTACAGCTCTGACAGGTGTGAGACTGTTGGGTCTCTACTGGTCAGCCTGAAGCAAGGCTTGGCTCCTTCTGAAGCAAGAGCCTGCCCTGCACATGAGCTGCCCCTCCCCCATGCTGCACAAGGCCTTCTCTGACCTCTTAAACTACGGAGAGGGACCTGGTCCCTCCCCCTGCTCTTCTGCTTCTGCTTGTTGGGAGGACATGGCAGACCACTGGCAAGTGGCCAAATGGATCCCTGGGAGACAGACCTTCTCCCTCTGCAGCCGCGCCAGGTCCTCCCTGTGGGCCAGTGCCTGGCGCTCCAAGGCCAGCTGTGCCTCCTGCTCCTGCTGTGCGGCCTGCTGCTGCAGCTGTCCCAGATCCCACTGCAGCTGCGTCTCTCGGACTTCCCAGTCGCTTTTCATGCGCTCCATTTCCACTGTGGAGTGTCAGCTATGTCATCACGGTGCCCTGTCCTTTGAAATCTCCCACTCAAGACATGGCTGCTAGCACATGGTGGGTAGGCCAAGTGGGGACGTGGATACTGGGAATGGGTACAGGGCAGGGCAGGAAGCCATTGCACCAGGCCTGTGGCTGCACCTCAGGTCTGAGCTCAAAGTTGGCCATGAGCAGGATGGGCCGGGCACCCCCTGCTCATCACTCACAGTCACACAGTGACTTGAGGATGGGGACAGAGTCCACCCACTGCAGCACCTTGCAAAGCCCTGTGAGCGAGCCGAGTAGCCTGGGCCTCTCCTTCTAGCTGTTTCTGTTGGGTCTGCAGCTGTGTTGCCAACTGTTGGGCCTCAAAGAGGCCATTCTCCAGAGAGTCCCTCTCCTTCCTGTGGAGAAGCATCAGACAGCAGACGAATCACCCTCGTGGCCTGAGGTGTCTCATAGTTTGAACATGTAAGAATCAATTGTACCCTACACAAAAACACATTTCAGGCCAAATAAAAAACCAAATCCAGAAACAAAACAAAATAAACAAGTCATAGTAGAGTAACTCAGAATTGTAAAAATAGAACAAATACAGAGGATGTTTTAATCTTCTTAAGCCTGACACGAAAGCCAGAATTAAAAAACATAATAAAGAGGCCAACAGATCTGGATATACTTAAAGGAGGGATGGGTAGCTTTTCCAAGAATAAATTCCATAAATAAAGTTGGAAGGAAAGGGCAGGTAATGAAACACAACACTTTGTCTGCTAATTTAAGAAACAGATCTTTAAAAATTAAAAAACGAAGATAATGAAGGGCAGAATTGGAAGAAAATCTGTATTTAATATATAAATGTAGGGGTAAGCATCCATCATATGTAAAGAGTTCCTGTCAATCAGCAAAATGAGAAAAATAGTAGTTACAAAGAAAACTTCAAATAGACAAAAGCACATGAAATTTACCTCACCTTACCAGGGACCAGAGAGATTCAAACAACAGCTAGGCAGTGTCATTAATCATACACCAGATTAGCAAGGGGTTAAAGGCAACCATGCCTGGTGTTAGTGAGGGAGTGGTAGGGAGACCAAGTATGCTGACTCTGCCCTGGCAAGACCACACCCAGGTGCTGATTCTAGAGACACCTCACAGCCAGAGACAGGATGCTTACTATGGCTTTCCACAGAGGGTTAGCTGGATTTGACTGGAATGCCAACAAATGGGAAACTGTTGTAGACATCACGGTGCATCTAATGTATGCAGCAACACACACTTGGTAAGGGAGGAGTCGCCCACGGAACCACCAGAAGAGCTGGAGTGCTGCAGGCAGCGTGACTCCAGCGTGGGGAAAGCAGTCCGGATGCATTTGCATGCAGAAGGATACTTGGATCGAGGTGTACCAACCCACAATTTCCAGGGGCTGGGGGTGGGGTAACTGAAAACAGCTTGTCTTGCTGACCACCAGCTGACAGTAATCTACCAGCCCAGCACCACCAGCTCGATTTGTCACTGAGCTCTGGTCACACCGAGAGCACTCAAATTTAACGTCCATCATAACGCAGCATCAAGGTGTGCTCTCAACGGGCGAGGGAGGCCATGGCCCTTGACCAGTCTGACAGTTTTGACAGAGCTCCTGTGTTGTCTTGTAGAGCACCAGAAACCTGCCAGGATCTCCTGATGTGTGAGAAAAATCCCTCTGGGCCCAGGCTACAAGTCCTAGAAACCTCACTGTCTGCCACACTATACCCGATCCCTCTTTGTTAATTATGCATTTCCCTCCATGAGTGAACTTGCCCTCTGCCAGGGTGTCCTTTGTGTGTGGAGAACTTCCTTCCTTAAGTAGCCTCACATTCTGGGCAGCAGATGTTCCCAGGGCTCGGGACCCCTTCTGCTCCCGTCCACCTGGGAACCTCCCCCACGCTTGCCATTTTCTGCACCAGCTTTTATTCAGAAAGTTCGGTTCTGAGAAGTTGAAGATCTGAGTCCCTCTAGTTCCCCATGGCTCTAGTTTCTGGAGTTCTGGCAGGAACTCCTCCAGGAAGCCCTCCATGACTTAGTAGGCTCTGGGGAGAGAAAGCATCAACCAGCCTTGGGTCTCTGCAGAGGCTGTGGGACCAGCCTAAGCTACCACTGTTCTTGCCTTTGCATTTCCACTCCAAGTTTTGGGTGTTGCCCTGTTGGTTATGGGGGTTCCCCCACCTCCACTAGCAGGACCATGGTTCCCTGGGTAGACCCTACTCCAGGCTACACAACCTTGTACCTCTGGCTTTCAGGACTGTTAGGGAACAGCCACTGGGCAGAAGTCTCAGATGGGCCCTCTTGCTACTTCTAGGTGTCTCCCTGGGGATGAGATCTCAGAGCCACTCAGAGGAAGGAGGGGAAGGATTTCTGGGGTTGTAGAAGCTTCCAGACACAGCCAACCTGAACTCCCCATTCTTCAGGAAGAAAAGGCGTATCTTTTTACTGGTCTGAGTTGAGTTTCTGGTCTCACAGGGTTGCCCTCTGTCTTCAGGAAGGTGACCCCAGGGTACCCCATCTAATACGGGAGCCACCTCAAGGGCACAATGTCTCCTCTCAATACAGCCCATAATACCATATGCTGACAGCAGACACGCCCTGCCCTATGCCACTGTGTCTATGTAGGACCCCTGCACTCATAACACCAAGGGGTGTCTGAAGGCAGGATCATGAGAGGTGTGGCCCATCTAGTGGTCCCACTAGTACCTCAGATCAGCGGCCTCCTTAGTCACAAGCTCACTGTGTCGCTCCAGGGCTTCCTGCTTAGCCAGTAGGTGAGCCCGCTCCTCCGACAGAGTGTTCTTCTCGTGGAGAGCTTCTTGCAGAATGTCCATCTGGGCCTCCTGGTCCTGCAGGCTCTGTGCCAGCTGCTTCTCCAGGGCCTGTTTCTTGCATGTGGCCTAGGGGAGGAAGGAAGGACAATGAGACATGGAAAAGAGAGTGAGCAAATGGGAAGAGGCTGCTGGGGGTAAGGGAGCTTGGAAGAAGATGGAGGTGAAGTAGAGAAGGCTGGCAGACATAAGAAGCACCAACACTCATAGACCGTGCATGGGCTTTCCAGGAGAGGGGATGGCCACTCTGGAGTCTTGGTGGACATGTGATAGAACTATGTAGGAGCCGACTGTCAATCTGTGAGTGCCCGAGGAGGGGAACATGTGGTGTAGGGGTGCAGACATAGCACAGGGTAGAGCCTAGTGTTTCCAGCAGTCACCTCAACAGAGTCTAGACAAGACCTCTGGGAGCCCTAGGGCTGCAGAAGCAGTGGGCAGCAGGAAACAGCCACTTGGGCCTCTTCCCTCCTCGAGGCGTTTGCTGCTTTGTGGTTTGAGGAATTCACAGTTACCAAGAACATCTTAAGTCTTCTAAAGTTCCATTGTCCCCAGAGGGCTTGACTCTACTCATAGCTGTGAGCTAAGTATGGACCACTCCTGCAGACTGAAGCTCAGGAGTGACAAACTAGGAGGCAGGACCTAGCTGAGGAAATGGATCACTAGGAGCAGGCTCTTAGGGGGATCCTGTCCCCTTCTTGTCACTGTGTCCCTGCTTCCTGACCTCTGTGAGGGGGAGTGTCAATACCTCCTTTTCCTCTTGCACACTCTTATGCCACAATGGCATTCTGCCCCAAAACTGGCCCAAACAAGGTGGGTGGTACTTGAGGAATTACACCATCACACGGGGGCGCACATATGAATGTACACACATGTGCATGAATACTTATATGTAATCATAAAACAAGACAAAAGCCCCAAAGACACCCAACAGCCAAAAGACAGGAACAAAGCAAACACACAAAGGCTTGCATGATGAGTAGCAGGGAGTTCAACTGTGCACACACAGACCAGGCACCAGAGGCCAGGAGCAAACCCAAACGTGGAAGACAAGCCTGACTCAAATCCCCCCTACACACTCCCCACCCCTGCCTGGAGCCTCCACAGGGGACCATATATGCTGCTGTTGGCTCCTCCCTCCTGTAGGTCCTGGTAACTTCACATCCTCATGTTTGTGCAGCAGAACTTTATCCACTGAGACATCTCTCCAACCCCCTTCAGAGATACAACCAGCAACAGCAAGACAGATGTGTGACTGTCCGCAGCTTGGCCTCACCTGGCCCACCTGCTCCCGGAGCTGGGCACTCTCCTGCCCGAGCAGGACCACCTGTCCTTCTAGATGCTCCTGCTTTTGCTCCAGTTGCTCACAAGTCTCCTGTAGACTTCTCCGCTCAGCCCAATTGAGGCCTAGCTGCTGCTCTGTGTGTGCCAGCTGCTCCCTGACTCTGGCTTGCTCCTGCTCCAGCATCTTCTGCTGCTCCCGAAGCTGGTCCCTCTCCTGCTCCAGCTGCAGAGCAGGTGGGAAGACATATAATCTGTGGACCACTTGCCCCAAGTTCCCACAAGTCAGTCACCCATGTAGGCCTTCCATGGAGATGCTGTGGTTCCTGCTTCAAGCTTGGCCAGGACCGGTGGCCAGGCCCTGCCTCCTCCCGCCTCTAGCACCTACTCTTGGTTTGGTGGCCTCAGTCCAAGAAGGAAGGATATCTGGGGGATGAATGAGAGGACAAGCCCACAGAGAAGGTTCAGGAGCACCTTGGGGAAACTGAGGCCTTGACTCTTGCCTTACCTGAAGTACCAGGTGGTTTAGGGTGCCTTTGTCCTGGGAAAGCCCTTCCACCAGGGCAGCCATCTTGGCCAGGGAGTCCTGTTGCTCTATCCCCTCTGACTTCAGCCGTGCCACCAGCAATTCCAAATCAGCATTGCTAGATTCAGCCTGTGAGGCATAGTGGTCACCCAGAGTTGGCTCCAGGGAGAGGTTTCAGCTTCTTTCTGACTAGAGTTGGTGACTGGTGGCCCAGGGAGATTCCCTAGGAGCAGATGTGGCCAGCAGGGTTGGGAGGGCAAGGTATCAGGAGTGAGACTTACACAATGGTGACGACTAGGAGCCCTGGCAGCGGCCCAGGCCATGTGGGTAAAGACAGAGCAAGGACTATGTGTACTGGGGCACATACCCGGGCCAGGGCACCACGCAGGCTCTCCTTTTCAGTCTCCGCAATGTCCCTCTGCAGCTGCATTGAGCTCAGGGCCTCCCGGGCCGTGGCCAGCTCCTTCCTGAACCCAGAGACCTTCTCCTCCAGCTGCTCCAGGCGGCCCTGGCTGAAACCCAGAGCCAGAAGGCAAAGTCAGGCAGTCTCTTCAGAGATGCCCCCACAAAACATATATGCAGGGAAATTCTAACAAACCCCTTTAAGCTCAGGGAGCCCAAAGCTTCATGGTGTCCCCTTGAGAGCAGCCTCTGACTGTATGCCTGGGTGGGGTGGTACACATGGGTGGTTAGTGTACAGAGAGCCAGGCACTGGGCTGATATACGTGTGGAAATATGGGTTGTGTGGTACTCTGCTTAGGAGGAACTGCCTGCTCCCTGCCTCTGACGCACTGATGGTGTCTCACCTGTGGTCACAGTCTAAGGGACCCTGCTGGCCAGCAGCCCCTCCAACCCACCTGGCCTCCAGCTCACGCAGGCTCCTCTGGCTCTGCTGGGCCAGCTCAGCTTTCTGCTCTGCCCGCAGCAGGAGACTTCTCCGCAGCTCTGCATTTGTGACTTGCAGCTTCTGTGTCTCCACATCCCGAATGTCTGCCTTCGCTCTTAGTTCCTTCATTGTTGTCTCCAGGGCTACCTTCTCCCTGGGAGCAGGAGCAAAGGGAGAGGCAGCCTCAAGCCATGCTTCCGGGGAGAAGTGCTTGAGGCCATCATGACTTACTGTACTGGGGAGGGTGCTTGGGGGTGAGAGGGGATGGATCAATAGAACAGGGGGTATGTGTCAGTAGGGGTGGGGTGGGTGCAGGCCCTCAGGGGCCTCAAAGGCAGATGGAGTTCAGGGAGGCACAAGAAGAGGAGTTGACACTGTGACCCAAAGCCTCAGGACCTCACTAGCTGGCTAAGATGAGATAGCCACTGTCTGGCTTGACCAGTCTTCCCCTTCCCTTGCAGGAGCTCGGGGCCCAGGCCTCTGCCACGCAGACTAAACCTGGGCAGTCGTCACAGACCTCTCTCTGTCACACAGGTAATGTCTACCCCATCTTTGCAAACCTCCACCATAGACAGACATCTCCCTGGCCATTGTCTACCTGATCTGTCCTTCGGCCCTCGCATTCTGTGGGTCCTGAAGCCCCTGTGCAGTGGCCATGAGGCTCTGGGTACTTTTCCCATGTCTCCTACCCTGAGCACGGCCGTGCCTGGTCATTTAACTGGTTCTCTGAACTTTTAGCCACGCCCTTCTCACCCTGTCCTCTGAATATCAGATCCCATTTCCCGAGGGTCTTTTGGATCTGACACTGCCTGGGCTCACTGTGTCCTGATGAAACCCTCCCAGCATTCTCCTGCTGCTTCAGCTCTGCTCCTGCACCCCACGGATGTCCCATCCCACGTGGCCTCTTGTGCCCTCTGCTTTTGGAGCTGTGGATGGATCTCCTTCTGTGACATGGCCCCGCCTATGCAGTAGGTTCCCCGAGGTCTCCCTATAGACTGCCACACAGTCTGCCTCCCTCTGGGAAGGTCTCCCTGCCATCCCCGAGCTTATTACTGCTGCCTTTGGATATTGGCCCCTGTGCAAGGCTGTCCTGATCTGTCCCCTCCTGCACGCCCGCCCTGCTCTATCAGGCTAGGACTGATTCATTCTCCATTTGCACCACAGCACCCAGAATATGTGTAGGCTGCTTGGAGGAGCTGTGAAAGATGTGTGGCCTGTCCCCAAACCATGGTAAAAGGGACATGGCTGTCTCTGCTCTCTGGGACATTGTACACTTCCTTCAGGAAGATTTCCAGATCCGTGGCTGACATCTGGCTCTTACGAAACCTGCATCCAGTAGATCCCAGAGATCCCCTGTGTACTCTGTGGCCCTGATTCTTTGCAGCCCAGGTCGGTGTCATGTGTAGCTACCAAGGAGCCATGGAACCCACAGGCTGTGTGGGGAGTGGGGTTCTTTGGCCATGGTAAAGGGTCACTAGGGAAAGGTCACATAGAGGGGAGTCTGGAGCAGGGCTGGTAGGAGAGCAGAGCCTGGATGAGCTTCTGGGGATAGGATATGGGCCCAGCCGTGCAGAGAGCGTAAGGCACTGTTTAGTGCCTTTGCTTTTTAGGGAAGGGAAGCCCAGGTCAGGTACCCTACGGGGGCACAGAAAAGGGAGAGGAGCTACTCAATCCAGGCAAAGGGGGTGCAGAGTGAGGGGCAGCCTGGCCACCCGAGGTCTTAGCTGGAGATGTGGCCTTTTCCTGCTCCTCCTATGAGCTGCTCAGTGCCGCCTGGTCCTGCCCCGCTGATCCCATCACCTTTCCAGGAGATGGATAGATGCCTGGCAGTGCTGTGTCTCCTGCCTTTGGGCCTCCAGCTGGCCCAGGAGATCCGCATGCTCCTGTGCCCTGTCCTGCAGAAGCCTTTGTGAGGCTCGTAGCTCCTGCCGGTACCCAGACAGCTGCTCTCGGAGCCCGGCTGCTTCCTCTTGGGAGGACTCCAGCCTCAGACACAGCTCCTGCGTAATGGAACCCACAGTGAGCATCAGCAGCCATCCAGAACATCTCCCAGTTCTCCCAGAAAGGCCACCCTGACACCTGAAGCCCCTTCCCAAGCTGTGGAACTCAGGGGCAGACTCCATGGAGACCCAGCCAGCAACCCCCACTCCAGGGCACCCCCCTGACCTCAGGGCAGGCTGTGGAAAGTTCCATAAAGGCACCCCAGCTGGGCAAGATTTGTGGCTCTGGTGGCCTTGTGGGCTATGATCACACACCTGCTCCCTCTGTTGCCGCCTCTCGATGGCTGCCTGCACGGCCTGCAGTGTAGGGTCCAGGCTGGCTGGAGAGCTGGTCCGTGTTGGGGACATATGCCGGTGGGGTGACACAGAACGTGGGGGGCTCCTCAGTCGGCCCTGTATCTCCCTGACTTCACTGCTGCTGCTCCAGGTCAACTCCAGAGTTGCATCTGACTGGGCCACCTCCAGGTTACAGAGACAGAAGAGGAGAGAGTGCAGGGCCACCATTAAACAGGACCTTCTGGTGAGGATCAACTAGAACCAGTGTGTCCCCCCCTTCAGGTCATCTGCATTCAAGAAAAACATTGGACAACAACAACAACAAAAACCCCAAAAAGCAAAAAAAAAAAAAAAACCCCAAAAAAAAAAAAAAAAAAAAAAAAAAAAACAAAAACCAAAAACCCATACCTCCTTGATGCTGGCCAGAACACGGTGTAGGGCTTCAACCTCATCCCTCAGTTCATCTACCGCCACCTGGCCCCCACTGCGCCGGGATTTCTGTGGACAGAGAGGCCTTAGCCAAGCAGACGCGCACCCATGGGAAAGCACCCCATTTCCCAGCCCACAAACCAGTCTCTGGATGTCTGCCTTGAGGGCCAGGATGGATCTCTCTCCTTCTTCCTTCTGATCAGAGAGCTTCTGTACTAACAGTGTCTGCTCTGAAAGTCTGGAGAGAGACCAGGGTGATGATGAGACGCCCTGTGGGTGCTGTGGGTCCATCAGGACTCCTCCCGATGGTAGCCTCCCTGTAGTGCTAAGACGACACCCCAGTCCATGTCCCAACTGCCTGCTTTCTCTGCTGTACAATTCTGATAACTCCCGCTGTCTATCCTGGGAATAAAACAACAATTCTAAGCTCAGCTGTCATGGTTCACGCTCTCCAACTCAGATCTGCAGCCCCATGTCAGAATTCTGGGTGTGATCACCCAGAAAAGGAAACTGCTCCCTCCATCTCAAGTCCATGCCTCTTGGGCATCCTTGCACTAGCCAGCCAGAGCCCATGGCCCACCTGGCTTGTAGCTCCACCTTCTCAGCAGCCCAGTGGCTCTGCAGCTGCAGCATTTCCCTGGCCTGCTCCCTCAGCCGCTGCTCCAGGTCACTGGTCATGCTGCTGGCTGTCAGCCGCTGGTGGGAGTCGAGGCTCAGGCAGGCTACATGCAAGCGCTGGGCTGTCCGGGCCATGTCGGCCTGAACATCAGTGAGACCCCTGGGATACAAAAGCAATACCTGGGCTGAGCATCATGACCCTGCTGTGTGACCTTCAGGCCCAGGATGCTGTCTGCTAGACCTCAGAGGGAGAGGCAGGTCTCATGAACAACTCCCATTTTTAGGAGAAGCCCTACTGTATGCTATGAATTGGCTTCTATGTCAGAACGGCATGGCGAGGGTAGAGCCAAGGAAGATAGATCAGGGATGGCCCTGACCAGAAATGGCGACTCTGAGTAAGACACTGACTTCTGGGCCTTCGTTTCCTCCTGTGTAAATGGGGATGCAATTACATCGCGCCACTGGACATGACTAGGCCAGATCCCCATGAGGTGTCCGGAAAGGACTGGATGGATTCCTGAAACTTTATGAAGGACAGTGTCCACCTGTCACACACGTGCCTGTGCCCTGCCCTCCTTCCACCATTTCTTCCCCTCCCCCTCTCCTCTCCAGCTATCCACCTTCTCAGGGCCAGAGCCAGCATGATTGCAGCCCGGGGGGAACCTCGGCCTACCACTCAGGCGCCACGAGGTGGGCACTTGTGCTTACCTCTCGGTGGCTGCCCGAAGCTCAGCCAGGTGTGTCTGCAGAGCCTTGGCCTGTCTCCACAGGGGGAGGATGTCCCTGGGCTCTCTCAGGCCCGACCTTTGGGTCTGATAACAAGAGGCTTTGTTTATTCAGGCACATCGCTCTGTCTCCTACCACCCCACCATGGGCTGGAAGGGGAACCTGTGCCACCTGTTAAGTATCCAAGTCTCATAGCCATCCCAGGGGCCTCCCAATCCCACGTGGGAGACACTGCCCTGCCCTCCAAGAGAGGACGGTTCCCAGATCCTGCCATGGCAGCAGGGAGTACTGTCCCACAGGAGGCAGGGCTGCTGAGAACAGAAGGGTTCTCCAAGGAACCGGTGCTGCCCTCTGAGGGAGGGGCTCCTCCTCTGTCCCCTCAGGGCATGGGAGGTCTAATGCTGGGGGCTCTACAAGATGTCCAGGACCCCCAGGGTAGTGTAGCTAGTAGCAGCAGGGGTTATCAGAGAAGCCAGCAGGGGAAGGGGGCTGGTGATGGTGAAGTGACACTGGCGATCATAGCATGTGCCCAGCCTTTAGGGAACAGTGACACTGCCCATCATAGTATGTGCCCAGCCTTTAGGGACCAGTGGGGCCCAGAGGGCTCTTGGGGGTCTATGTGTTACCCTCCTGTCATCATACCCCACTGTGTCCTGTATGCTGACTTCTGGGACCCACAGGGTTGCAGGTACCAATTGCTTCCCTTTAGCTCCCTGCCAGTCCCTGAAGGATTAGGTCCACCCAAGGCTCTTCAGCATGGCTTTCAGAGGGACACACTCTCCTTATGCCTGTCTAAAAGCCACACCTCTTCCTGTATGAGGCCACTCCTGACTCTTCAGCAGACCCTGCGTCTGAGCCCTTTGTGGCCCTGATCCCAGGACCACGTTTCTATACACCTTGGGGTAGAGCAGGGGACACTCGATTGCTCTCTGTCACATCCCAGGGATGAAACAGCTTGGCTCCTGCCTCATGGGAGCATGAAATTCTAAGACTTTTCCCTTCTTGACAAGGCTGAGTGGGCTAGCACAGGGAGAGCCTGCAGCCAGGACGTGGTGCAGGACAGGAACCCAGCTCCATGCACCATTTTCCTAAAAGGGGCAACTTGAGCATCAATTTCTTTCCTCTGGGAGCTGAGCAATGCCCAAAGTGGGGGTCTTCTCAAACATGGTGGATATCCCAAAGCTGCACCCAACACAATGAAGGTGAGCGGGCTAGAGCGTGAGCAAGAACACATCTGACACGCCACAAGCACACACTCATACATTCATCCTACTCTCATATACCAACACTCACACAGAGCCACAGACATGCAGATTCACATTGCACACAAATTCAGACCCACACAAACACCACACTCCAACACACTATACTCACACAGCCCATACACACACCACTCTCATTCACCACAATAGACTCCACGTGCACACATACCACACATACACAATACACTTATATCTTCACATATACAAGCTTACACATACCACACGCCATACACACAGGCTCACACACCACTCACATCATATTTACAGGCTTTTTCACCACCCACACACACACACACCAACAAACACACACA